CCCCCCCCCCCCGTTCTGGTCGTCGCCATCATCGTCGTTTCGTTTCGTCACGCGTTTCTTTGTTTTGTGGTGTTGGCAGCGAGCGGACGAGATCGTATCGGGCTTGCGACCCCTGTCGCGCCTCGACTCTTCTCCTGGACCTTTGGCGGAGGAGCTGAGGTTCGGCCTGTGGGGAGTCGTGCTCTGGCTCGCCTCTGCTTTGGGTATCGTTGCGGGTAGGGAGAGGAGAGGAGAGGAGAGGAGAAGAGAGACAGCAGTTCCTCGTGGTGCACCATGCGTACATACGTAGATTCGTAGGAGGGCGTTTTCTGTTTTCCCTCCCTATATTCTGGTGTTTGTTAGGGGCACCCAGTAGGTGCTGTGCAAGACTTGCGTCGGTATCCCCTGGTTCGACGGTACCCATTCGACGACGACGAAGCAGACGTGGCGTCCCCACTTCTTGTTCCGTTCAAGGTGGTCATACCCACGCTGCAATGTTTCTTCCGCTACTGCGAAAGCTACTACAGCGCTACAGCGTAATCGTTTTCTACGAATCCACGGGACCCTCTCGCCAATCCAAAAGCCAAAACACCCCCAAACAGATGTTTTTTTTTTCTTGAACAACAATCAGGCGTTACCGGCGGCTCGTCGTCCTGCGACAGCCTGCCTCCCGCAGAGGGCCGGGAGTACAACAAAGCTTTGGAGGAGGAGTGGGGAAACCGAGCGGTCTCGGCGCTCAGGGAACCCCTGCCCTCGCCCTCACCCTCGCCCTCTCCCGACACCAAGGCCGCCGCCGAGGCCGTTGCTGGCACGGCGGCAGCAGAGGGAGAGGCTGGTGTGAGCGTCGATGACGTCAGAGCGGGGGCTTCGGAGGGGGAGGTTTCGCTCTTGCTGGCGTGCCTGTGCAGGGGTCTGGAGACCACGTTCGTCGTCAGGGTCCCCGAGATCTTGGGAAGGTGGGGGCGGGTCTGGTGGTTTCGTGGGATGCTGGTTATATTTGTACGTAGAGCGAATGGAGCCGTTTACTTGTAGTACGGGTTAGTGGGGTAGTGATGTTTTGGTGCTTGTGCTGGAGAATGAGAATGAGATACCCCGTACTCTGGCGCTGAAGGCGGTGGTTGAATGGTTGGAATGGTGCTGGACGGTTGTCCAGTTTGGGGCAAACGAGCTAGCAGCTAGCAGCTATCGGCAACACAATCTCTCCTCCTTTCCCTCTGTCTCGCTGCGCGGGCGAAAGGCTTTGGTTGCCGCCGCCTATCCCCTACCAATGCCCTCGACCCTCCCCTATCCATTCCGATGCTTGGCCAACAGAAAACATATTACCATCCATTCCGCTCCCCCCCTCCACGCGATATCACTTCCACCCTCAATCAGGCAAATCCCTCTAACCCTGGACCAGTCCGTGCACGCGCCTTCGCCATCGATGCACTTCACGGGCTCGATTCACTCCACGCGCTCGGTGACGTCTACGCTAAAGTCGGCTGCGACAGAGAAATCTATGGAAGGGGATGATGATGCGGCGGGGGGAGGGGGGGGG